ACCTAGAAAAACATGTTGTGTACTACTAATTACTGATCAATGATTAAAAGTGGAATGAAAATTTGGAAGGATTCGAACACACAACCACTGGTTCTCGGGTTCGGTGCTCTATCAGCTGAGCCACAAGACCAATGAAGTGCATAAGTAATCGAATTCTAGGCAAGTAAGACATGTGTGTGAAAGAGCGGAAGAAAAGGAAGGGGTGAATAAATGAATTTATCTTTGGAGTCATTAATTAAGTTTCCTCTGACCAAGGTGAAGAAAAGGACTGTACAAACGTTTTCTGCACACAAAGACTAGAGTAGTTTTCTCTAGTTCCCAGAGCCTTGGCTTTGTTTAACAGGCGGGTACGAATTCCATCTACGAGGTTTTTAAAACTGAGATGAATGATTATGAAAGCTTTGGTCTTATCTATTACATAACCGCCATTCACCATATGTAACAGAACTGAACTTTGTATTGTCTTCACTATTCCCTTTCCCAGAAACGATTGATGGGGGTCAGTAATACGTTTGCTAAGCTGCCTAGCGCTGCATTCGATACAGCTTTCTTCAAAGAAGCAGATGAGTCAACAAATACATACAGAAGTGACTTACAAAATCTACCATCTTGACTCAGAAAAACAATTTGATTTAGTATCATGTGCAAATAAATTCCAAAAGGTACCTAAATAATATATCGGGTTGGTATTCATCATGGACTGACGTCAGTTGGAGAAACACTGGAAAACTGGAAGCACTCGACAGCCGTTTCGCCCTAGAATGGGACCCTTCAGCAGTCCACACTAATGGCCCCACCAGAGATCAAACCAAGGACCTTCATGTTTCATGGATATCACGTTAGCATGGAGCCCATTGGGTCGGAATCCAGTGGTCAATACTTTCTACCTGTATCAGTTCACGGTTTAGCGCGACATCCAGGCGTCGTCGTCGTTGAATAACTGTCCTCATATTCAACTTGGTTAACTCAACCGGTCGCGACTCATTACTGTAACTTCAGGAATCACATCTCCAAGCTAGTTACCAGTGATGTGAATAATCTATATCTTGGTTAGTACTAATCAATCGCGTATTTTGGTAAAAGAAGACTTTTCTGTGTGAAAATTTCATATTCAAAGCGGTACAAACGTTTGTTTGTACGCATGTTTCATTTTTATAGTAAGGTGACTGATGAAAAGCATTATCAGAGGAAAGGACATTATTGGATGCATTATCGAATCCTTTGGAAAGTCGAGTAGACTGAAGGTTGATTACTTAAAACAGAGAAGTGGGTAGATGGATACGGTATGAATTCATTTAGAATTATTTAGTAGAAGATGATATGCGACAACAAACACTAATATCATTCAAATCAAATGCCATAAAATGGGGACTAATGAAGATAAAATCCCAATACTGAAACTAGTGGAATGGAACTGAATATTGTAGAATAAATTGGGAAAGATGTGATTATATGTAATACTTAAACAGTAAGACGTATTCTGTCTGAAATATTCAAGAATCCTGGTTTCAGATCGCGTCATCAAGGTGTATACGATACGATAAAGTTGTATGCTTGCATTCTTGAAAAGATTTGATTTCATCTTGTAGGTAATTTTAGTGGAAGATTCGGGAGCTGTATTATCGAAACCAGCTGTATGCTGGAAAGTTGATGAATTTATGGTTTGAAGCGCCTTTTTTGTCAGCCACATAGGAAGGGTAATCTTGAAAGTAACGGAGGGGGTGGGTGGGTTTCGCGATGATTCCCATGAGTATTTAACCCCATTAGAACAGGTGAATATTTTTATGCAAATTAGAGGTAAAGTTCCCTCAACACTAATTTCGATTAATAGACCATAAAGGTAGATCATCCATAGAGGTGCAGAACAGAATCTTATACTTGAAAACTATAAGACAGTCCTTCAGGAATTCGTGTATACTATTGAAGTACACCACCAAGGAAATGCTTCTTTGCGGATCACAGTTCATGATATTGGCTTGACGCTATCTAACTTGAAGGTTATCAAAAGTAGTTTGACAGCTAAGAAACTACTCAGACATAAGGAATACCAGCGTCGGGCAGACAACCTGTAAATAATCCGCACATAGATCATCCGTTTTCAATATCACCTCTGAATTCTAAATCACTGCAGACTTACTTTCTTTGTACAATGATCATTTTTCAATTTCGGTAATTTGTCCATTTTTACACCATTAAAATGTTATCCATACCCTAAGCCAATGAAGTTTTGTTACAACGATTAAACCTCCATCTCTTTATTTACTTCTGATCATGCCATGAGCTAGACTAGGCTAAATTCCTTCTGCTTCCAATAACAAAGTTATATAAACGTTATATGAAGATTTACCGCAGACCAACTTCTTCAGATATCCTTCAATTCTACTTGAGATCATCACATAAGTTTGCGTGAACGACTGAGTATAAATATCAGTACTCTTAGACGAACTTCTTATGTTACACTTCAGAAATCAATATAATCTAGGAATTGCGTTTCATTTTGAAGCCATATGTATATATATATATATATATATATATATATATATATATATATATGTATATACGTGCGAAAATGCTGTGAAAGATTATTATAGTCTTCAGAAACGGTAAACTTTTTCAGTGAATTTTTTTCTGGACACTAAATATGCTCGTAATAACAACTTTTTAATATCCCTTATAGATAATTTGTTAGCAATTGTATGACCTTCACACAGACTTTGCACTAACGTTTCTAGAAAACTACTTGTATTCCACATATGATAGCAGAAACAGCAAGTTCATTTATCATATGAAGTAAGCATTCTATAAACACTTTGCATCAACAGGAGTATTCATATATACACACATCTAGGACTCCTCTCAGTATCGTTCGAAATGTGACTGTATCAGAAAGTTTTAGTAACAATTAACGCGTCAGTTCCGTCTAGTTTACTTCGATATGTATTGGGACGATAAGTTGTAGGTGGCCAGTTAGTACGCTCATAATAAGCTAACAGTTGGGCACTAAGCAGTCAAATGACAGCCAGACAAAACCACTTAATAATAAAGCATCTGAATTTCATAGCTCGAAAGCCACTCGTTTGAATCTTGCTATGAATAAGATTTTAATGTCAGATTCAGTCTCTACCCTATATCAGTAATATATGTTTTCCAGATGGTCATAACAACAATTTAATACGTTGGTTATTTCCTGTCAGGTGTTAACAAGCGTTGAACATCTTACATTCTACTAGGTTATTTCACTGCACATTCTAGATACCTAAAGGTTTACTAAGATAACTAAATTTCCAATTATTACTAGTATGATAAAGTGAAAACAAAACAATGGTACAATAATAACAAAGTGTTACACAAACTGCTTGATAACAAGCATGACCTAATGGGTTTGACAAAACTACTGAAGCAAAGTTGACAATGGTTACGTTGTTAAGTTTTGTAGTACAAAGGGTAGAGTATCTACATAAAAGTTACCTATTTAAATCCTTCTCAAAATCTGGTTTTCTCTGCTGCACAAGATAAAGTTTGATTAAAACGTTAAAGGCAATTTTGTTTATTTGCTCAATGATAAGTGTAAAACCTAAAAGTGTGAAGAATTGAAAATGGTGTTTCACGGCTTTGTTTTCCTCTAAGATACAAGTTTTCTTTCACAAATAGCTGCGATTTCAATGCATTATATTGAATGCACTTCTTATCAGTTATACATGACAAGAGAAAGATTAATAGTTGATTTTTCATTTATCATAATCTATTATTGCATTGCATTTTAAACACGTACCGAATTTATTTTTATGGTAAAAAGCAAATGAATGTAGAGAAGACGGAGGTGATGAAGATACCCAACGAACAACAGCATGAGTAACAAGCACCAATCACCACTAACTGGAGAAACTTAAATGAATTTATCTCGTTCACCTACAAACCCACCTAGGCAACATCGTTTCAAATACAGGCGGCGATGGCGGCGGCCGCGGCACAGACGAGGACGTCACAACCAGGATCGAAAAGACAGCAAGACAGGCCTCCCTTCATTTATCTTAAATCAATGTGGAGATCTATTGCACTCCACTCAGATTAAAGCGTGAACATGATCCAGATTTTCAACACCAATGTCATTCAATTCAGTGGCGCCATGTGTATCAGAAACATGGCGCATCACGAACAGCAGTTCCAACAAACTACAGACATACATCACATCAACAGCTGCCGCCTACACTCGTTGCTGGAGATCAGATGGATGGATGGCCAGAATAGTGAGAATAAGCAACAAGGAAGTGTGACTGGCTGGCAACAAACCAACCAAGAACCCATCTCCCAACAGATATGCAGAGGAAGTAATTGGATATGGATTGGATTGAGCATACACTGAGAAGGCGGATTGGGGGCATCACACGCCAGGCCATGCCATGCTGTCGATTGGAATCCAAGGGGGAAATGACGAGTTGGTCGTCCAAGGTGAGGGTGATATGGAGGAGATAATTTGAGGAAGAAAAGAACGCTTGTGCGCATTTGTGTTGTTAGATGAAGAAGACTGTAGAGAATAGAGTGGAATAGAGGCGTGTTAATGAAGCCGTGTGTTTCACTAGGAACCTAAGGGAAAAATAATAATGCTAGAAAATGATGAGCATATGTATTCTACAATGGAACTGGTCTTCTCTTAGAATAATTCGAAACAATATGTTATTACTGGAAGTGTTATCAAGAAAATTTTATTTTGTTTTTAGATTTTCGATATTAGACAATTTTGTTGGTGATATAAAGTTGAAAGTATCTGATATATAAATGTAATAAGTTAATCTTATATCACATTAGTCAATGATAGAATATTTTTTGTTTACTTCGAACTGATATCTAGAACTTTGTACTGAAACAACTTATCAAAATCAACAGGATTCTATGCTTACAGAATTAATTATCGGCTTTGCTATAGTTTAAGTAAACCTTTAAAAAGTTTATCACTCACTTAAAAACACAACTGAATTACATCTTTACAACTCTTGTTAGTGATGTTTAGCATAATAATCATTGTATTGCTTACAGTCATCGGTAAAACAATTTGAAATTATCATCATATAAGCTCTAATTCATTGTTTATTATAGAGATTACCGCATCTACAAATCATACCAAGGTAAAATCTGTTTTAGTTCCTTATTAACCATTTTATTTCTTTTAATGAATACAATTTCATATGGAAATAGTCTACTGAATAAATATTCTAACAGATCTGAGTCAACTGGATTATATACTTCTACAAACTAATAAAGTATAAAAGAAATATATTTTTATTATATTATTACTATTACTATTATTATTATTATTAGTGTTATTATTTTTCCCTTGGGTTCCAGTGAAACATACGGCTTCACTAAAACGCCCCATTCCACTCTATTCTCTACAGTCTTCTTCATCTAACAACACAAATGCGCACAAGCGTTCTTTTCTTCCTCAAATTATCTCCTCCATATCACCCTCACCTTGGACGACCAACTCGTCATTTCCCCCTTGGATTCCAATCGACAGCATGGCATGGCCTGGCGTGTGATGCCCCCAATCCGCCTTCTCAGTGTATGCTCAATCCAATCCATATCCAATTACTTCCTCTGCATATCTGTTGGGAGATGGGTTCTTGGTTGGTTTGTTGCCAGCCAGTCACACTTCCTTGTTGCTTATTCTCACTATTCTGGCCATCCATCCATCTGATCTCCAGCAACGAGTGTAGGCGGCAGCTGTTGATGTGATGTATGTCTGTAGTTTGTTGGAACTGCTGTTCGTGATGCGCCATGTTTCTGATACACATGGCGCCACTGAATTGAATGACATTGGTGTTGAAAATCTGGATCATGTTCACGCTTTAATCTGAGTGGAGTGCAATAGATCTCCACATTGATTTAAGATAAATGAAGGGAGGCCTGTCTTGCTGTCTTTTCGATCCTGGTTGTGACGTCCTCGTCTGTGCCGCGGCCGCCGCCACCGCCGCCTGTATTTGAAACGATGTTGCCTAGGTGGGTTTGTAGGTGAACGAGATAACTTCATTTAAGTTTCTCCAGTTAGTGGTGATTGGTGCTTGTTATTCATGCTGTTGTTGGTAAAAGTAAATAAATTACTTAGATAACCACTTCCTTCTTTAGGACGAAACATCCAATGATAATTTCAGTATAATTGTATTCATGAAATAGCATGTTATTCTTCTCTAAATCCTCTCACCTAATTCGAAATGCTTTGAATAGCAAATAGTTGGAAGACTGAATACATACTCCTTGAACCCTGTATGAATGTAAACTTTGCCTTTTTTGCTACTTAAACAAAAAATATTGCCTTTTCAACTTTGTAGACTTTCGGCTCATAAAATCAATCTGTAATTTACCCTGGATTAAGCCTGAAGTTACTAGTTAGTCTTTTGATACACTTATTGATATGTATAGGAATGAATATCACAGAAATTTACTGATTTTTAAATGTCTTAGTTATCCTGACTTAAACACTGTATTTCAATTCATTTCAAACACATGTAAATCCTCACGATTTATAATGAAATTGAGTTCAAAAATATTATAGAGGCTAAATCTTTGGTACGTAACGCTGATGGCTTTGATTATGTCAACATATAAAAAGGTGACTATTATGTTACGTCTTCTAGAAAGACTGAGTGAGTGTTAAAATGCAAGTAAATACATAATTAAATAGTTCCAGAATTGACTATGGTAATAAGAAAGGCTCCATAGTTCAAGGAATATTTTTTTGATAAATGTCGAACAATGATCAGTGGAAGAAAAGGCCAAACAAAAGACCTGAATGCTTCGAAAATTTACAATCCATAGACACAGAGGAATTAACAAGAAAGTTTTTTTCACAAACTCTTATCTGTAAACAACAACGTATACACAAACATCTTGGAAGAAAAGCATAGGTGAGTGACAGTGTAAAGTTAGTCAGATGAACTAAACAATGTAAACATTTTACCTTTCGTTTTAACTGAACGTCTGAAGTCACAAATCAGAATTCAGATCTATATGATAAGATCTTCATTTGAATCGAGGATATTGATACATTTGAATAGTTGAAAGAATAGATGTTATAGTTAAAAATTGCTTATAGTTTACTGGAATGCTTTGCTTTCTATTTTCATGTCAGGTTGCTGTGAAACTGTCAAATAACGATAACAGTGTACTCTGCAACCAGACGGTTACTTGTAAGGCGTCAACTTTATATCATTCTGTTTTAGTGTGTGACAAATGTCAGGCAGCAGTTAAATACATTCAGTCAGTTTTACTAGAAGATTTTGAAGTTAAAAAGATTGACAATTGGATTGAGACACTTTGTAAAGTCACTGGAGGTTATAACATTACAGTAAGTATTGAAAACATTATGTTACTCATCATAACACTGAACATTGTATGTTTGAAATAATTGCTGTTATACACCATTATTTAGTTTTCATATTAGTTTGGGGCTTTTCAGTGGTGCGCACTCCCGGCGCTAGTAAGGATCGAAATCAAAACTCTCAGGCTTTGAGGTGATTACTTTTTAATTCAGTCACTGGGTTAGAATCAAATTGTTCATAGTTTTCAGCTTCTATCAGTCTACGAATTAGTATTGCCACCAGTATTTGGCACCTACTACACATTCGACTTGACGGGTCACCACAACTGATTAAGATTTCAGAAAATTCATCCGAATGTTTGTCGTTATTGAGTATGGGACAGTAATTTAGTTTGAGATTTTATGCAAATTTTCTGATTTTAGTTTGATTAATACACGAGTAAAACTTGGACACTGTAGTAGATTGTAGTTCCATTTTAGTCTGTTTATTAGAAATATCACACAGAAAAACAGCGTCGTTTTTTGGATAATGTTTCGGATACAATTTGTCGTCCATATTCATACCAGGTAACTCCACAACTTTGAGATACAACTTATATACTTCTAATCTTCTGTCTTTGTTTGTGATTAGTGAAGCAGAATTTTCCATGTATCTGGGCCAGGTGGAAAATAATTTCGATTATATGTATTTGATATCTATCAGATAAACAAAGATTCAGTTATCAATCTTTCCCTCCATCCAACTTAGTTTTCAATGCTGTTGCTTAGTTGCATGCATGGCTACAGCCGAAATTTTCCCTAAATTTCTTATCTTACTAAAATCTACTCATGTTGATTTAGCTAAGGTTTTGTGCTCCGTTGTTCTAACTGACCACGGTTGACTACTTTGGCCTATGTAGGTCACCTCACAATCATTGGGAGGGATTTGATATACGAAATTATTTTACCTGATTAGATCAGTAGGATCTTTTAACAGACAAAGCTTGTTTCGTACAGAGTTTGTTGGTTTCAATGCCATTTTAATCCCAGTCTGATTGAGAATTCTGCATGATGCTTCTGAAGTGCCTTCCGTGTACGATAACAAAGTAGAGGCTTTAAACTATCTCTCAACCCTGTCACTATTATTATGACTATTGGTAGAGTTTCAGTTATTACGACAAGTGACTTAAAAAGTATGTCAGCATTTGATTGAATTTCGGTGCGTTTGCGTAATATAAATAAGTAAACAACTGACTGACATTCAAGTTTAGTTAACCGTATCTTTTCTTCACTTTTCAAACACCTAGAAAGCATTTGATTGATGTCCATTTCTTAAATAAACCAAATATTTCATCCGTAAATTGCTTACTATATATTAGAAAACTATGTTATAACTAAGTAAAGTTTTTACAAGAAAACAGTATGAAATGAAGTAGTTCAGAAACCCATTTAACATGATAATAACAATTGATTGTTTAGAAAATAATAATGAAAATACGCACAGATTGTACACGCAATAGGCTTGAAATATAGCTCATATACATGTACTGTAAGCTATTGCCTTAATGTATGACCTCAAATGCATTTTACTGAACCTGCATGTATAATCTGCCTTCGAAATCAAGACTGTCCTAATCTCAAATAAAATTTTCCGAAAAGTTATGACATAGTAAACAGTATTACCCTTACAAACTCACATTTAATCTTTATTTTAGTGTTCAGCTTTATTGGCCCAATACGTTGACAATGCTATTCAGATGATAAACTCTACAAATCCTATCACACCTTGTCAGGTAGGTTATTTCAGTCTCCATACGTATATCTTCAATGTGTTATGACACTGAAACGTATTATAAGCTCAAAAGTGGTTTATTTTATATAAATTTTAGAGAATATCTATAAAGAAATCATAAATTGTTGCAGGTTTATTTTGAAATAAGTGTCCATGCCTATCTTGTACTTTCTGTCCCAAGAAATTATAAGATTTCTTACTGCAAATGAATTTTATTTACTATTTCTTAATGTTTTACAAACCTGTCTACTCTCTTTTCAGACTATTAAACTATGTAAATAGTGAGTTGGCATGATATTATTTTTATATCAAGTATACAAGTCAGATTATTTCAAGGAAATCTATTTTTGAAGTACAGTTGACTCCTAACGAAAAAATGATTTCGAAACTTCACTTTTCTAAAAGTATATCATACTTATTAAAATAGTAAGACGGGTTGCAACTGTTACTCATTTCTAGTATGTATCTATCCTAAGTTCAAAATGTTACATGGATTTGCATTCTCTTAAAAAGTTCGTGCATAATAAGAATGAAAAGATTTTTAGACTAGGATGATCTCTCTGTGTTTTACATCTCACTAGCTTGAAATAGCCCGAAATCATAATATAAGATGATGATTATCCTACAGCTATCATAAACTGCCGAGATTAGAAGGTTAAGAAGATCGGAAAGCTTCATGGTGAGATCGCATTATTTACTGACTGATATATCTTTCAATAGACTAATTTTTTGCCGTCGCCAGAAGTTCAGATTAAATGATCAACACCTATCTGCATAATAGTTTACAAGCCCTAACTTAATGTCAACTTCATTTCTGAACTCCATGAAGTAGCAATAAATTTTACCTTAAGAATATTCTTGCCAAGTATCTTTACAAGTAGTCTCAAGTATACACCACCAAGTTCAAAAAATCACCATGAAGCAACTTACTACCGAAAATATTTAGGCGTTACATACGTTGATACTAATAAAATGTTAAATATTGAATAGTCTTGAAGAGACCAAATTCCACGCAAATCTTATGAAGTCGAATGAACAAGTCAACGATACCATCTGCTTATCACTAGTCGTATGAATATAAAAAATTTATCCTGTTAGGAATGTCATACAGTAAATGAGATACTTTTTCATACTGTAAAATATCCAACAAACAAATTAACAGAATATCATGCACTACCACAATGTACGAATTCTACACTCAGTTGTATGTGTGAAATCACTGCTGGCTTTAGTGTAATAAGTTCCATCCTGCTAGTTATATGTATGAATTAGTCATTATACTTTATCTTGAAGTGATAAATTTATATTCCACTCAAAAGCCTAAAGAAGAACAAACTTCTATCGAAAATTGTCTAACGAAGATTTGTCATACTAAACGGTTAATTTTGAAATAATAAAAATCATAGACTGATATATTTTACGTGTAGGTTTTGAATATAAAAACGTTTACATTCATTACACATTCAAAGAAGATAAACCTTCAGAAGGAATAAGTAGATGGATTCAGCTATCAATAACAAAGAGTTCATCTACAGCCAATTTGTTCTTAGTATTTGACTAAATACATTCAGTACATCAATCCTAATTAGACAAATATATTTGGACGGCGATCCAGAGTTCATTTACGACTGCAGTGAGGAGATCTTCACTCAGCCTAAAGCGTAAACGAGATGCGCATTTTCGACACTACGCAAAGAGGAACTCTGGCTGACAGCGAACGAACCAAGAAGCTGTCGCTGGACAAAATGCAGAAGGAAGTGAAGATGGATTAGACATGCACTTGGTGACCATTCGAAAACATCAAGCGCCAGGCTAGGCCCTCGAGTAGAAGAGAGATGGGATATGACGACTTGGGCACTCCCAGCTGAGCGTGACAAGGAGATGATGTGAGGCAGAAATTAGAGCTTGTGGGCTGTCGTGCAGCCACGTTCAAACGTTTGCAGAGAAAACAGTGGAATAGAAATGTGCTACTGAAGCCTTACATTCCACTAGGAACCCAAAGGACAAATAAATAATAATAATAATGCATTCATTGTAGTAATTGAGTTGGAAATAGGTAGCGAAGGAGCCTTCATACAGGTATCTCCACATATTCTGAAGAGTTTATGTCTGCAAGGAAGCAATGACTTCAGTGTTGAAATCAACAAATCTACATAAGCTATATTTTAAAGCTATTCTATTTCCTTCTGTTGAATACAGCACTATGAACTATTCCTGGTGATATTAATACCCCACAGTGAAGCTCAGCAAGCTGTATTAAGTCAAACCTATACTGTTTTGTATCAAAAGACATGATTTGTCTCAAAGTACTACTACTACTACTACTACTTCAAAATAAATAAAATCCCATATATCCCAGAAGGGATTTATTATTAGGAGAAAGAACTTTGTATTTGCATGTTTGTGATACTTTTTGAGTAGCACACCAGTTTCAGTGCTGTAAAAATAATCAACAATGAAGCACAAATCGTCGCTTTGATAATTTTTCACATCATGTGAATTGTTAAGTAGTACCGATAAGCAAAAGTAATCAATTTGGAAATATAAAGTTCTAATAACAGTATTCAACGATGCCTTCTGCACTCAGCATGTGGAACAAGATACGGATTTCCAACACCAATTCAGTCAAGTCAGTGCTTCTATATGCCTCAGAGACTCGAAGCATTACGAAAGGGATTTCCAACAGAATGCAGACATTCATCAACAACCGCCTACACTGGCTCGTTACTGAAGATCAGATGGCCAGAATAATGAGAATCAGCAACGAGGAACTCACTCTGGCAACGAACCAACGAAGCAAGAATCTATCGTTGAACAAATATGCAGTGGCAGGAAGTGGAGATTGTGATGGATTGGGCATACACTGAGAAGGCTGACTGGGGACATGATGCGCTAGGCTAGACCCTCGAGTGGAAGTTTGATGGGAAGCGAGTAGTTGGGTGTGCGAGGTGAGGATGACATGAAGGAGATGGTGCGAGTAGGAAATTAGAGGTTGTAGGCTGTTGTGGAGCCAGGTTCAGAAGAGTTCAGAGAACAGAGTTCAGTGGAGACGTGCTATTGAAGCCCTATTTTCGATTAGGAATCCAAGGGACAAATAATAATAACAATAAAATTAAACGATGCAGACTGATGAATATCACTTCGAAAAGTAGACTAGTTCATGCTTTAATAAAATGAATTCCTAATTCAGATTTATTTTTTAAATAAAGTTGAACGAGTTATTTTCATCTTGTTGATTAGTCGTTGAATTCAAGAAACATGTTTCATCTTACTCAGGACTCGTCAGCTAGATGTTCCTGCATTTCAGTAAGTGATGTTGTCTTCAGTGAGACTCAAACCCAGTACCTTTCGCTGCAATCACCAAAGGGTTATTTATTATGTCACTGGGGCGTGAAAGACACCATTTGTGCGATGGTTGTCAGTTATTGCTGTTTAATAATTGAAATGTATAGTTGCTACACACGGCCGGAGTTTGAGACTACTGTTGGCAGATGGACTCCTATGCAAATGCCTCGATATTCATGGTTTTGTAATCATCTTGGTAGCAGGCAGTAGAACCCAAGACTTGCGTTTCTTTCTATATAGGACTCATTGAACCAGTTAGGTGTCTATCTTCTTTGGATCATATCTTCGCCTATGACAAAGATAAATCAAGACTAAATTATTTCTTATTTTAGTACTGTTAGAAATTTTTACTGATTAAACTAGAGTGATTCTTGTGATAACCTGTTGCTTGATAAAAGCTGCAATATATGTCAGTCGTAACTTGGTATTTTCAACTCCTTTTTCTTCCCCGTAATAGGGTAAAAATACTTTGTTGATTTCTCATCGTACTACTGATACTGTATTAGGCGTTGCTGATCAGAATGGGTGTAAGTAGTATATGTTGAAAGGGTGGCAGAAATCATAGGGAATTACTAGCTATGAATAACGATTCTTCCCAAGAGAAAGGCAAAAGACAATGTGGGCGTATGAAGAGCAAATCAAGATAGAAGCATAAGAGAAAATGAAATACATTATGCAAATGACTGTCTTAGTGGAAGGTGTACAATATTTGACGACTATTGTACAGGATGACACTAGTCGACATTCTTTTCTCTGTCTCCATCTTATCGTTCTCTACAATCGGTCTCGCTACTTCCAAAAGTGATGAAGATTCCATGGTCTGCAATGTTCGAGGAAGGTCTTCTTCAGGGACTTCGAGTCGGTCATGGGGCTGGAGAGATTTCTGGATCCGGGCAGCAAGACCATTTGTAGAGAACGATAAGATGGAGACGGAGAAAAGAATGCGACTAGTGTCATCTTGTACAGTAGTCATCAAATATCGTACACCTTCCACTAAGACAGTCATTTGCATAATGTATTTCATTTCCTCTAATGCTTCTATCTTGGTTTGCTCCTCATACGCCCACATTGTCTTTCGCCTTTCTCTTGGGAAGAATCGTTATTCATAGCTAGTAAGTCCCTATGATTTCTCTCACCCTTTCAACATATACTACTTTCACCCATTCTGATAAGCAACGCCAACTACAATACTACTAGGGGTTTAATCGTTTACAGCATTACTAGATTTTCATAAAATAAATTATTGACATGTCATTTTCAATAAGCTACCAGTCTTTCTCCACTTTATTTTTTAGGCATAAACAGTGTTAAAGCTTTTATGATCTTCGCCAACTTGAAATACAAGCTATAATTACCAAAGTATCCAATATATGTATTTGGCGGGCAAAATGTCTTTAAAACTGTGCTATTTACATCAAACTATGGATGGTGTTGTTTAAAATGTTTTTGAATATATGTTCATTTGGTTTCAGTAATATAGGACATAAAATGTATGCTGATAGATATTGAAATTGATTTGTTGTTAAGAAAATTTTTTTAACTCAAAAACTTTTAGCTAACGGCTTATACTTTTGAAAAAGGTTAAGAGTGAAACACTCACTGAGATGAATAGCGATTTAAGAGATTTCTTGTTCATATAATACTGATGGATAGGTGCTGGTAGTAGAATCTAGGATGCGCGTTTCGTTCTATTAGGAACTCGTCAGCTGAATATGTCTGACTTCCAGTGGGCTACGTTGCTCTCACGAGGACTCTAATTCGGGACTGATTGCTTCAAAGGCCACAGCGATATCCACTAGATCACCGAATAGCGGTAATCGCTTCTTGCACGAAAGGGATAGTTTTAATGTTGTTACTTGTATTATTTCATCTTTGAGTGGACCGAATTGATTAGTCTCTATTGACATATGGGCTCCCGCACGGATGCCTCTGTAGTG